TGGTTCATCATGGAGAGCGTTACTGAATTCTGTCACCATTTCATGCTCTCTTTTCTTCGTCCAGAATCCGACACGTTTTCTCACGTAATGGAAGATAAGAAATGTCGCACCGACGCCGATTAGGAAGAAGAAAACACTCAACACGACGTTGGCAGGTTTTCTAAGCAAGTGTGCTCTAGGACGATCAGAATAGGCGATGATCCCGAGGACGATACCGGCAGCGAACATGGGGAAAGCAGTCAGGAAAGCTCCGATCACGACATACCATGCTATCTGTACACATCTCTTCTTCCGCGGCGATAGGCTGTATTCATCGACCGAATGAATGTCGTCATCATCCACGCCATTGTGAGAGACCTCACCTTCACCCGATGTCGACCTTCCCATTGTATCTCTGATCTCGACGACGCATTCATGAGCTTGCAGAGTTGTGTGATCATACCTTCCGACCTCGAAATTTGTGTTTATTTTCTCTTTCTGATTGATATCATCATCATGATTGTTATTCTCACTGATCACTCGATCATGATGTGATGAGGATGACGATGGTAACGACGATGATGTCGGCGATGGTGATTTCGTCTGAATGGCTTCATCTTTGTCGCACGATAGGTGAGTAGCGGTGGGTAGTTCGGTGATGTTCTGGTGCTGATGGCTGTTGTATTCCATGTTTGGGTTGTTTTCCTTCAGAGTGTTTGGTATTAAACAGAACTGTTAATATAAGAAAAAAGAAAACGTTTTTTCACAATAAATTAATATTTTATCTTCCGATATTCTCTTTGAATTTGACGACTCCCCTTTCTCTTACACGCAGGGCAATGAGTGATGTAATTTGTATTTTTAAATTCATTCATTTATTTTCTTTTAACCCAAAAGCAGGGAGGCTTGACCGACTTTATTTACCATATGAAGAATGTTAAGGGATATTAATGTTTCAGTTTATATATTCTCAGAACGGTATTGCGTAATCTAAAGATTCATATGGATTGATCAATAAAGTTCTGAGAACTTTATCTATCAAGAATAAACCTCATTGTCACAATAATTTAATGAAAAGAGGTAAAAAAAGAAACTAAATTCATGGGCAACAGTATAAATAAATATATATATATATATATATATATATATATATATATATATATATATATATATATATATAATTATATCTTGTTTATGTCATTAAAATTTATTTATGTTTGGAATTCAACAGGGTTATTTAATTGATTTATTTTACAAACGTTTTCATACAAAGATGGAATTGGATAAAAGTATTTAATAGAATTGAATTGAACCTGAAAACTTAAATACTTAATGCTGAAAAAATAATCTTATCCACCACATTCAATAGCTCAGCAAAGCATTTTAACCAATAATGAATGCAAAACTTCACAGAACACACGCAATTGAAATCTAATGTCATCAAGTTGTATTATGGGTGTGGTAATTTATTCCATTGTAGTACTGAAGGGGAAATTCCCGAGATCAGCATACACGCATTCATGATACGGGAATATAGTAATGACATATTAGAATAGTTGTCCTGGTAACTTGGATTTTGCATTTTGGAAATTCGTTCATGTAAATATAATTTCTGTCTATTCAATAATATTCAAACTTGAAATACTTTTTTTTGCGACGTATTAAGAAATAAGAAGAATTCATGTATTTTCAAAGCAAATGACAGCTCCAGTAAATTCATGAGCGCGCAGTGCTACTTGCAAAGGGATGTGTTGAAATTATTGATAGCAAACGGTTTCAAAATCAAGAATTTCGTCCATGATGCATATCAAATTATATTTGAGTATCTATAAAACCCTCTTGTAAGACGGAATCATTATTCGTGAGTTCAAGGAAATTAGTAATGATGACAGATACTCGAGTATCCGCTACGTTCTTAGTACGATGAAACTCAGGCGATGAGGCAGATAATTCTGCATATAAACTAACCATTCTCTAATTCATAACAAATCAAAACCCTATACTTACATGTTTTGATGCAGAGGTCGTTTGCCCCCAAAGGAATAAAAGAAATCCTGTAAAGATTGTCAATCAGTCTTCTAGCGAAATTGTAAAACTAAGAGTCCAAATATATCTTGAATGCTTTTATAGGATCTTAAGCATGTTACGGACGGACGGGCATTTTACAGGCGCACGGTGTGAGGAAAACGCGCACAAATTTGTTGCTATGGTAACTATGCCACGAAGATGTAAATTGTTGATACGAGATTAGGCGTAGTCCGAATTGCGGATTTTCAAGAAAGCAGGTAATATTAATTTTTCTTGTATTTCTTCTACTTTGTCTTTTTCTTTTTCTTCTTCTTCGTCTTCTTTTTCTCTTTCTTTATCTCTCTCTCTCTCTCTCTCTTAATCTCTAATTTCTCTCTGTTTCTTTCTCCTCTGTCCCTCTATCTGTAACTTTTTCTTTTTTTGTCCCATCTTTTCAATAAATGTGTCAAAAGTTGAAAAAAAACACATCGCTCCTATCAAATGTTTGGCTTACCCATCCCTGTCCATTGAATCTGATTTGATTAATTGTTTTCTCTTACACTTTTTTAACTTACATTTACATGCACATGTTGAGTATGGATACTCCTGATTTGGGTAGGTCAAAATAATTATATATTAAGGAAAGATAGAGAGAAGGGTAATACAAACAAAATTTAAAAAATCAACACAAACACTGCAAGGGAAAGGGGAATACAAGGAATTATATAGACAAGGGTAGAAAGAGAACAAAAATTAGGAATATATATATATGTATATATATTTTAAATGAGAGAAGGAAGGACATGAATAGGAGGGATTGGATACATAAATAAAAGATGAAATAAAATGCGATAGAGAGACGAAAAAACAAATAAATACACGAGGAATGAAAGAAGGGGAAGAAGATAAAAGGGATAGAACGGAGAAATATATGAGACAAGAAGAAGAGAAGATAAAAGAAAGAAAACTACGTAAAGAAATAATCAGAGAAATTGACTCATTAAAAACATATTTTAACTCGTTCACCTCCTATACGAACTTGGTAATTGACTCTTAACATTTAATTTTATTTCAAATGTTTTCCAAGAACGCTACATGTATAAATAACGCTTAAGATCGTGTGAAGAGTTAAAGGTCTCCATGGGAACTGCCATACGCGGAGAAACGTGAAATGTTTTAATATATGCTTACGTAAAAGACGACGGGATATTAATTGGATAATCCAAAAGAAGGGTTTGTTTCTGTCATTACTATAATTAAATTCGAACTTCGAGTTGCCATTCCAACCCCATTGATGTAACTCATTCTGGAGTTATAGGCCGTTTGGATTGTGGAGTTCTATCCTTGTATTGAATCACCCATGACTTTTTTTGTCTGTTTTCACCGCTTCATCTTTTCCAATGTCACCCCATTGCCCTGCTTCTCTGACAAAAGTCCCCCTCCCCTCCCTCTCCTCACCCTCTTTCTCTCCCCTCACTCTCCTCATCATTATTATTCTCCGTCGTCGTCGTCGTCGTTGTCATGATCATCCTCATTATTATCATCATCACGATCGTCATCACCACTTATAACGTTTAACTTTGCTATCGTCGCCCTCATCGTCATCGCTCTCACAAGTCACGACCACATCATCATCTTTTTCATCGTGTACGTTGGGACTGAATAGTGATAAACAAATTACGGTTTATCATAATGATAATCATCATCATCATAGGTTTAATGGTCACCATCATCATCGAATCGTCGTCGTCATCATTATCATTATCATTCATCGTGAATTGCTCTTAGCCAGTGTTGTAGCTACCGCATTGACGAATTAAATACGGTGAGCTTGGCAGGGGGCACATGCCCTCTATCGAGAGCCGAGAAACTTAGAGAGACAGAACTATATACAGAGAGGGGGATGGCGACACCAACACTGTCTTCTCACTCGAACGATTTGTTTTCTCGCATTTCATCTATCCAAATGCACCCACCATGACACGACACAACTCTCCTTACGACTCCCCTCATAACAATTTTCATCCTGGAGATATTCATCAATAAGCCATTACCCGTAATAAGAAATATTTATCCAGTCCAACAATTCCAAAATATCATCTCTAAAGATGTTGGTATATTCCTTCCCCGTCTGTTTCTACCCCCACTGAGAATCATCAATCTCAACTTTATTTTTAAATAAACTCGAATGTGTAGAAAGAAATCAGGATTTATCATTTAATACTCGACGTTCATGTACATTCGGCACATAGCTTCAACAACAAAACTAAACAATAACTTACTCATTGAATAATTCTTTTCTGATAATTTACATAAATTAAAATATACATATTATTAATTAATTCATTGACATCGTTGATAAAAGTAAAGTGGACCGGATTAAGAGATGAGTTTGTATTAAAATCTATTTCATAATTACAAGATAGTGAAAGTACCTCAAAATGGATTTATTTAATTTTCATATTTCACACAATCTTAGACATTTCTCGCGATTTAAAAAGTTAAGTTATTAGCAAATATATTCAAGTGAAAAAGTGACAAATGCTGTTCTGAAACAATTAGATTGCCTTTGAAATTTGGCAATGTAGGCAATCTCACTTTCTGGAGTACAAAAATTACAAAATATGGTAAGCTATTCGGGCTTAATCAGTACCGAGTTGAAGCTACTTTCGAAATTTCTCTGCCTTTTCTTTTCTTTGTATTTTTTTTAGGCGAAGCAATTTTTTCTTTTTGTGTAGGAGATATCTTGTTTTCATTTACACTTTTAATCAAAATCATTAGAAAATTTGATTCACATGGTACATTAATATTTTGTTTTACAAAACATAAGCATATATACAAATATGAAGAAAAAAAATCATTTGAAAGATACATGAAACAATATAATTGATTAAATGTGTATAGACATGTATAAATACAATACATCAAATTCAATTAAAAATTAGAATATGACCAACGGTTTATCATTTAAAGTATTTTGTTTCGACGCTTTATTTAGCTACGTGTACATGTAGGAGGGGCCCAAAATATGACAAATCATAAATGGGTAAATCTGAAAGCAATTACCGTTATTGTATTTGGCGTCATAGAAACGAATCAACGGTAGCCCCGCGTTATCACGTGACACGTTGAACGAACCAATCAATGATCAGCATGATAAGAATGTCACGTGATTACGATAATACAAAGCGTGTGAACCAGTTTTGTTATGATTGTCTTCCTTTTAACACGTTTCCTTTCTTTTATAGCCTACAGCTGGCCACATACACAATATACTGTGTATATTATAGTGCGTAACGGTATGGCATTCCTCATAGCCCATACATCACGTAGCATACACGTTCTATCACTGCAATTCAGTCCATTATGGCACCATGTATCGAGCTTGGATACATGACAGACTATATTCTTCTAGATTCATTGTATTCCCGATCAGAGACATGGTCCTCTGAATCTGTAAATGAATAAAACACATTGAAATATTAATAGAGATTGATTGATACCAGCGAAGGACAGAAGATTATGAAAGAAATTGAATATTGAATATATACTATGAAGCGAAATATGACAATTTCATGAGTATCTGAATACCAGTCATCCTAATAAACAATCCACAGGTGAGATGGGAGTCAGTGGCAAGTTTTCATTCATATTATATCACATTAGCATTTTAAATAATTACTGGATTGCTGACAACATTATTATGATGTAACAATTGAATCAATCATCAAATATAAGATGACATAATCAATGTAAAAGGTCAGGCTATAATACAAATGTAAGATATGTTTAATTTACTTTTATTTTATTTATTTATTTAGTTGTTTGTTGTTACCTGGTTCATAAGATTACATGGTGTAAACATAATTTCGGTATAGATATTATTCGGTATGTTTTAAATTACGTCAACAAAGAGATATCAATAAGTAAAGAAAAGGAAAATTATACAAGGTCAGGTCACCTCGTGAATATTAGGGAAATTAATTCATATTCACAATAGTGGACGAAGTGTGGCATTCATACGAAGCAAGAGAGGATATATATCTATGGGATTGGCGGGGATGCCAGAATATTCATAACTGTCCTATTTGTAGAGATAGATAGAGAGAGAGAGAGAGAGAGAGAGAGAGAGAGAGAGAGAGAGAGAGATGATGATGAGAAGGAATGGGAGGGGGAAGAATGTGGAGGAAAATGTCTACTGTGTTGCTATTACATTATTTTTTTTTTTTGGTATAAAAAAGGGAAACATTTAAGTATTACATCTATTTAAATCTTTAGACTGGCGTATCTGATTGAAACCATTAATTTGAATTGTCATTGAAATGCGAGAGAGCGTGCGGGTTTGCGTCATTATACTTCACCCTGCTAGTACGTAGCTAAATATATGATTATGAACGCAGAAGAAAGATATAAATTGTTCCGTGAAACACAATTTGCTAAAAATATTGCCGAAGGGACAATTATATTTAACTGAGTATACTTGACGATCTTCATCAGGTACTTTGACTCTATTTATAGATTTAATAAAATGCTTTCCTGGTAATTTCATGCTTGTAATAATATCTTTCATTTTGCAGGGTTTGGTATCAATCAAAGCACAATACAGAATGTCAAATGTTATATGAAGCACCACATAACGACTTAAATTTATTAATATTATGTGCAGTAAAATACATTCAATTATTTCGAGCGTATACGTATTACGTATTACGTATACGTACATAATTATGTCTGCCCAATATAAACGTTTTCGAGAATATCTGAAAATAAGGCTTGGATACTATTAAACAGGCTGTGATATGTTGCATACCAAAAGTGTAATGTTTATGCATAGCCTTCACTGACGTCATTGCTTGTTTATTAATCCACGGGGGATGCTGTAGAAATGTATTTCTTTCTCAATAACTGGGGAGGGAAACATTTCAGAAGGCGTTGGATACATTTGTCTCGACACATTTCTTTATGAGCTCCACCATCAAAAACACACAAAAACATTCCAGGTGCCAACCCCGAAGAAAAAACAAAGTTAGAGGACAGAAAAGAGGGCGCAACAACGTTGGATTGCAGACAAGAATGTCTTTGATCACGTTTATTTATAATCTAAGTTGACCTACATTTAAACATTAAAGTAACCTTCGTTCTATAATTGACATTATAAATGAATGAGGGAACCCAATCTTACATAGCCCTTTATATACATTTTACGCCGTATTAGCACTGATGTGGCACCTGGTTCAGACCTCAGAGGGTACAAGGGTTGACGATCTTACCTTTATTGCTTCCATTGCGATTGTCTGCATGGGTCGATCTCTGAGTTGATGAATTCACCCCGTTGTTGGTAACCCCAGTCATCTCTTTCTGTCCGAAGCTGTACGCATTTATACCTCTCATCTTATAAACGACGAGGAGTATGATGGTGATGATGAGGAAGATCATAGCGATGATGAGTATGGGTGCTCCTGGTTTGGTGAGGTCATAGCTAGCTGGGATTTTGACCATACCAAGGACTACGAGGAGGAGGCCGATGATGAACAGGGGGCACGCACATATGAAAGTGCCTTTGAGAATTATCCATATTTTTTTCGTTACGCTAGCCCTTCTCTTATTCTCATCGTTCATTTCCGATGCGCTAGCCTCAGGTTTGTTTCTTTGCGCAGATCTCTCGACGTCGCCCTCGTCATATTGACGATATCGGTCGGTGTTGTTAGAAGGGCTATCGAATCCGGGAGGTGGTGGGTATATGTCGTCTTCTTGGGTGGGGTCTGTGAAGCTTTGGTTGATACCTTCTCCTTCATATTCAGCCATCATGGTCGTGGCATCGGAGTTCAGTTCTGTAACAAATTAACACAAATAATAGGAGGATTCGTTTTTTAAAGTCAGGGTATGACGGTAAAATTACTGTTGGAAAAACAAATTAATCACACTAGCAGTGCACAAAATGCAAACATACTGTAGCACATTCATAGTGAGCTTTGTGTTCCAAAATCCAAAACAGATATTAGTCATACAGACAACAATCACCTATTGTAATACACTCACTCAATGTTTTCAAGGATTAAATAATTCCTCTCGTATATACAACAATACAATCTATACTTATACACAGCTGTTATGAATGTAAGACAATACAATAATCATGAGTCATTAGTCCATATAGGAAGAACATAATGCTAGAGTTCAGGATGATGTTCATGACAATGACAGTTTGTTAATCCTTAACACATTGGGTAAACGCTTTACTGAAAACGTGTGTGCAAATGTGAAAATGATCATCACTGATATCTGGGTCCCTGCAGCGCTATGATCCTTGTCATAAGATTCATTCGAAGAAACACTGTTTGCATAATCTTCACTCGAGGGGGGGGGGGGGTCCTACAATTAGAGCCATCGTATTGAAAACACAGTTATGGCAAATGAAATCATTAGTATCATTATCATGTATCTGCCGTCACATGACATGTGCATGGAAGACGAAAAGTGAACTGAACAAATACTGTTATCCTCATCATGAGATTTATCCAATCACTTTGTGATTCAATACATTGACTAAACATGGCGTATTGAAAGAAAAAAAATTAACAAACTCATATCAATTATGTTATTTTCATGTTTCTGAAATAATATTCGGTAGGATTACTCTGGTTAAGCGTAGTACTTTTTAGTATTTGTACTAGTGTATTTGTATTAGTACATAGTATTTTCTCTGCGTGTGTAGAAAATCACTGGTGATTGGAATGATGATAAACCTAATAAATGATCAATGGTAGGACAGCATGATGGCGACAATTATTTACAATCATATGCAATACTGTTTATCACTCAAAAGAACAAGATCGTACTTTTTAGTGGAAATCATGACATGTAGCCTATGACAATTAACCTGATTATAATTAATGCCAACAATCTTTAATAGAAACAATATTAAAATCGCGTAACATTTTGTGATTGTCGACAGGGACCGCAAGAAAGTTTTAACATCCTCTAGCAATGATGAAACGAAACAAATGAAAAGAGAAGAATCGAATGAACCGTTTACCCCCAAATAGTAAGGAAATATCTTGTTTTTTCCCTACATAAATGAATAAAAGCACATTAACGTCTACATACCTGGAAAACGTGATCCAAGAACACAGCACACTGTTGTATTACCTAAATCTACCAAACCATTCCTTATTGTACTTTTAGTATGCCCCTTGTATTACACATATTGGCGATATTGTTAAATATTTCTGTGAAAGAGAAGTAAATTGATAAATTTCTCACCCCGTCAGGGTCATGCTTGTACGTTTTTCATAAAGGTGTGAATATTGAGTTTCGATCAATACGTTTTAGGAGGAATTCCACGAGTTGATACGTATTGTCGGTATTATTCTAAGAGGGCGGATACGGGCAGCAGGTGGACAAACTTTATATATGATGAGAGATATTACTTGGAAATGCTATGCATTTTATCCCATAAACTGAATTATTATTTCTATTGCCATGTTGAGGGAGCCATTCATATTCTTATATTCTAGAGATCGACTCTCTTTCTTCCATCGTATCTCAGTTGATCAAGCCATATTTGGAGAAATCGATGGGAAGCTATAATGGGACCCTTTCCCCCTCATCCGACACTCTTTTGGTTCCACCGCTGAATATATATACCAAGTGATAGTAAAATCAGTCAAATGAAAATGTTCATGTCATGAAAGTTTTCATCGGAAAACTTTGATACCTTTATGATTGCAATGGAGAGTAGTGAAAGGACGCCCTCTTTAAACTTCTCAAATACACACGTGATTGGATGTGAGTGAGAACTAGATTGCTGTGATAAATTACTATTCGGTAAACTATACTGTTGACATAACGATAATTAACAAACACGTTTTACGTTCGCACAAATATTTAATGTAAATATCAGTTTAGCATCAGACTTTAAAGAATATAAAGGAAACTATTAGATTGTTGGGAAAGAATCTGTTATTCTTATCAAATCGCGGAAGAGCCATGTGCTCTTGCCATATGAGATGCTATTTTCGTACGAATATTCTATTCCTAGGTGAAATCAAAACTTTCAGTGGAATATTGGCTTTTGAAAGGGAATAACCAGATTAAAAAATCAGCCTTTTCCTCAAGAACAGAATTATTAAAACGTTTCTACAAATAAAACCTAAAGGGCAATACAACATCACTTTTTTAGGCTTAACGACGATGCAAGCCATAACAATCACGCTATCATTATGCAGAACAAGGCATTCAACGAAAAACCGAAAAAGGGGCACATTCACGCTAGAAGGAGGAATGATGTGAAATGCGACCCCCCCCCCCCCCCCCACCACCACCCCCTCCATCGATGCCCCCATATCGCGAGACGTTATATCCCTTCAGAGTCATATCAAGCAAAGCAAAGGTCTCCGAGCGGTTTACCGATTGCCAAAATTACAGTCGTACTGAAGATGGACAATGGATGCTATCACACTAAAAGGACTGTAAGAAAAAAAGGGGCAATACAAAATGAATCTGCTAGAAATAAACAAATTCTCTGGGGATACGCCTCCTGGCAGCTCCTGCTAACAGTTGTCTTAATTTCACGGCCCTCTGATTTAATCTGTATTATTCATCGAAGCACGTTGAGTAATTACAGAAAATGCTCTTCTTAATCACCACACTCGATCTTTCATCCATGCCGCCATTTCTGTTACACGTTTACTTTCTTGTATTCTACATGTTCTGTTTAAAGGTACTAATCCCATTTGCAGGCCAAAAAATGAAAAGGTTAAATTCCAACGGCATTTGAAAGATGGTACTAATTTAGAGCTTCCCTAAAAAAAAATGGGGGGGGGGCTTGAAAATGTCTTTAAGTGGGAAAATAACGACTATTAGTTGTCGAATCGACTTAAGAGCTATAGAGCCAGTAAGTAATATTCTGATTTTCAGACCATTGTACCGAATGGTCGTACGTTTTATGCTGCACAAAGATTCAATCAGTTTAATTTTGGACATTACAAGAAGTGGGTTATTGATGTAGACAAATGCTCATGTACCCTTTACAGCTCATTTTATTTATGTTATTACCAAAGAAGAAAAAAAGCTAGTCAGTCACTCAATAGTGTCTGACAGTGAAGTCTAGGAAGTAAACGGGTTTCCTTGCATAATTTGAATATAAGGACACCGCTAACGTTTAAATTTCACACATATAGGACACACATGACATATTCCTAATTCCTGCAAAGTTCTACAGAATTTGATGATGGCTGCAAAAGGGACATAGTACCTTTAAAGGGAGATGGTCGTCAGTTTCCATGTGCAGTTGGTCATAATTCGCTGACACCCGACTTGGTGGATATACCATTAATGTATTGATGTACAAAGTCTTGCACACAGCGAACCCATGGTCCCATCAAGAAATACCCCGCATAGTCTTCGGGCGACCCGGGGTGAGGGAAATGTAAGATAATGACTTTTCCACATGGGGATTATTATTATTATTATTATTATTATTATTATTATTAACATTTATTTCCTTCTCAACAGCACAATATAAAACACAATGTATATATACATGATATATGTAACAATTATTTCAACATAGAGTATACAGTAATTAATTCAGATACGGAAGGAGGCGAAAACCCGGAAAGCGTAGCTTGAGTTGGGAACGCCCATAATAAATTAACACAGTTACCGAAAGAACATTATAGATATTATTATGGATGGATGGTAAATGCAAAGCATTACCTAAGGCCTGTTGGTCATAAAACTTATGGTTAATCTTTGTGATTGAAAACACCTGTTATTGAGTAAAAACCCGAATGGTGTCGAATTCCACATGAGAGCCCACTACTACACTGTCGCTCATATAATTGGAATATTTTTGTTTTACCCCAATTTATGGAATTATTTTAAAAATAATTTTAAAATAATAGATCTAGATAATAGTATACATTCTTAGATTTTATTGAATAATAATTTGACAATGTGTGTTTTGCGTGACTGGTAAAGCATGTGTATGCTACTATGCTTATCAGCTAGGGGACCTATGCCCTTTAGTCATAAATGACAGTAATGAGGATTAATGCCCCACCAAAAGGGCACTAATATAGCACATCGACACGGTTTTGATCCTGGGGCCTCAAAGTTACGAGGTCATTGATTTGTCATTGAACCATGACTGTACGCAGCGGGGGCTAGGGTAGGGGGCAGTTTCCATAAATTTAAAAAAAAATGCAATAAATTGTCAATAATTTATTGCATTTTACCCCGGTCCCCAACATAAAAGAATCCTCTGGACGGCCATGCATTATGGCTCAAGGCATGGGCACACAATGACTTCCTATTTGTAAAGTGAAATTGAAACAAAAATTTGGTAATAAAATTATACTAATAAATATATAAAAACTAAAACAGATCTTCCCTAACGGACTATTATGAAAGCGGTTGCCCCAGACTACATGTTGGATGTGCGGACATTGAAACAATGACAGTCAGGAAAGTCTGCAAGGATGCCATCACCAAAGTGAGTGGAGACAAATTATATACTTGCTCCATTTACACGAAAGACAAGGATCCTATATCGGTACTTTATCGTATCCCTGTTATTATAGACCTACCACTACATACACAATGTGACTGTCACGAATATATTACATTTTGGGGCGGTCTGTTTCTACGCATTACGTAATTACCTTGCTATCTTATTAAAGTAAATATACTTTCCATCGGCTTCTTTAAAAAGAATGGAATTGAATCAAATTTTGTACCCCAAACATGCTTGCTGCTTGTTAATTTATACCCAAATGCTTTTAAAAAATTACCTCGGACGTTTCTTGAATCTATTATGAATCAATAAGAAGAGACTGGTTAGCTTCAGAACAGCGTGCGCTCAATTTGCATTTACGTCAAAACTCGACTCGGTAAGCAGGTTTGTTTGTTGTTCGGTGTATTCCCAATCATTCAATGGCGGATTCTGTCCAATTCGGAAAAGCATTTGGGCAATCCAGGTGATTTATTTGAGGGTATTTTAGGAAGAACCCGCGTGAATAATGCAATTCAGTTAACAGAAGAAAAGTGCAAAAGGGGTTTCAATTTGGAGGGGAGCGGAGCAGGATTCAGAGAGACGAAAAGGGTAGAGGGGATCTCAAGAATGGCGTTTTTCTTTCTTATGTAAAATGTACACGATTCCTTTGTCATGATGTAATGTGTTCCCTAATATTTTGAAGCGACTTGATTATTTAATTAGAATGGAAATGGCGCTATATAGACCTGATGTATTATCATTATTATTATTTTAGACATTGCTTATGTCATATCACTGATGTACGTTAAGTTGACAAAAATCTAGCTCATCATAACAAGCGGATGTGAAAATGATGAATGTGCAATTATTGGCTACTTTTGAAAACATTCGAGACTGTTTGTATGACAAATTGGGTACTTTACGGATTGTACGTTATCTGATTAAATGAAAGACAAAGATTCGACATTCAAAATAAAGGTTCCAAGAAAAATACAGGAGACAAGAGGTACATGTATCATCTTGTCAAACGTACATTCTCAGTCATTAATCTATAGTATAAATATATTTATTACAAGCTGTTCGAAAAATGTATCACGTCCCTCTTTTGCCACGGGTATAACAAGAGGTTTTTGATTGTTTTTCGTTTAAAGGGCATATATTGCAAAGTCCCCCTTGTGCCCCCTTCTCGGGCCCTGTGTGTCTTAAAATGTTTCCAGAATGACAGATAGCGGAGTTCAAATGGATTTCTTGTATTTTGAGAGCTTCGTCTGATTTACTTTGCTGATTGAGAAGTCGATGTGATATCGACTGCTAGGGCGGATATGAGATTGCTTGTAGCTGGCTTATTTTCATTTCTGATTGGAAGAATTGGCTTTTAAGATTGATGGAAAATATGCTAGCGGTGTAGCCATACTAGAAAAGCAAAAGAAAGTAAAATGAGTCACACGCCATGGCATTTAGGAACGGTTGGATATCTATACTGAATCTAAATCAAATTATTTCTTCAATATTTGATGCCTTAAACAAAGAATATGAAGTTGAAGCGAGGAACATTTTGTTCAAGTTTCATAGTGTCTTCGTGGAAACGAATTTTATATGGTAGGTTCGAACTTTTTGAAGATAATTTCAGCCTTTTCGTTAAAGTAGGTTAGAAAGTAAATGCATCGTAACTATAAACAAGGCATGAATATAATCCACAAATGATATGATGCATCGTTCTTTTGGGGACAGTTTTATCAATTTCTTATCGTTTGCCAAAAGCATGTTTATGTTGATGGACATTAAAACTGCATGAATACTTCTTTTATTTAACAATCCTGTATTGTATAGCATTCATTATGCACGGAGATTGTTAATATGATGATAATCACCTGTTGCCATTCGAACCTGGTCGGATAGTGCATCATCCTTCCCTTGATCAATCCAAAGAGCTATTAAAAACGCAAGAAACACCTGCGTATTAATTGGTTTCTTCCATCGTTCAAGGACATTGTTTCTTTAGCCTGACTGCTTGGTGCGGGAGAAGCAGAGGAGAGGCCACTGATTGAAACTAATCAGTAGGAAGGAGATAGAATAGGAAAGAACGTTCCACAGAACGAAAGAAGAGCAAGCGAGAGAGAGAGAGTGTGTGTGAGTGAGAGAGAGAGAGGAGAGGAGAGAGAGAGAGAGAGAGGGGGGAGAGAGAAAGAGAGAGAGAGAGAGTGAAGGAAGAGAGCGTCAACAGAGAGAGATGTGGTTATGATGATATATTAGTGATGACGCCTTGAATACAATTCTGAAGATGTTTAAAAAGATACGAAAGCAACATTCAGGACACTGAGAATTGAAAAGAAATAAAGATACTTCTCAAATAAGCGAAACAGAACAGTTTGAACAGGACAGGTCATACCACTGTTTGGTTAATACTGTTTTTATTCTCACTTCACAAGCATTTCTTATTATTCATAAATTAAAAGAAGAACAAAAAATTATAATTAACAGATAATCTGCAGGTATCAAAAATGGAATGAAATATGGGCATCGTCTAGTATACACTAATTAGGAAGGGGCATGTATGCCAAGCAATATAACTTATACTAATCTACGGACAATTTAAAAGTACTTCATATGACATGTCTTTCAGTAATTGTACACACGTTATCAACCCACGTTCATTGATGAATTGTATACTGAACAACTTCAATGTTTTCCTATTGCCCTTTAGTCATTAAAATAACTGTAAATTCGTAATGCAAACAACTTTATTTTGCCGTTTTGCATGGCCGGAAATAAATAATGAAATATATTTCGTTTTTAGAAAGCATTATCAAAATTGATTTATGTAATACATTTTCCATATTATTATAAATGTATTCACACACACACAAACAAAAAAAGAAATGTTTACAAAATCTAGGAATAGTGAAACGACTGCTCCTTTCAGTAATTATTTTACCACGCACAAACCCAGAATGATAAACGAAATGAATGCAGTCCAAATGACCAGTACACCAAACACTTGCACATCTGATTTTTAGCAATATTTCAATGTCCATAATTTTGAAGCATAATTCCTTTTGCACTTCACGCTCTCTTTTGAATGAATGTCGCAAAATGTATTTGTTACTTGGTTTAGATCTGTACACAAATGAGCGATGCAAGAAACTGAAAAATACTAACACGGACGGATTTACTACAACTATACTTATGTAAATATTTTCCTACAGAATTCAAATCATGACAAACATTTGACTGACGGGTTACATGTCGTTTTTTCCGAAGGTTCGTATTTCTGAAAATAAAATAGGGTTTATAATGCAAAAGATTGAAATAGGGTTGGTGATTCCGACATTTATTTCTCGGATTAATCGACCCTATTTCATTTTCGTTTATGTTTCGAAATTACGAACCTTCGGGGGGGGGACGAGTGCCTCCCGCGTTATGTTTCCATCGAAGCTTCACCAATATGGTTTGAGTGATCAATTTAAGAAGGCCTTTATTACCTCCTCAAAAATCTCTTTAAAGTATACATGAACGAGTACATGAAAGAGTCTGATGTATTGCACCTCCCTTTCTGCATCATTTAAGGTTTTGCCACTTTAATTTTCCTAAAATCACCCGGATGAAATGTTTGTGGACGGTTCTAACAATCACAGGCATTTTTTATCAAACGAAATAAATCAAACTGAAGTGAATTTTTGTTAAGTTCCTGCAGATCACTTTCCCTGCAGGAGACAGGAAAGTCTCGTCTTTTTAACTTCAGAATACCCCTTCGTCGCTGTTTGGATGAATTACTGTTGACAGGGTCATAATTATTGATAAACCTGTCATGAACATTTGGAAAATAATGAAAATCAAAATATGATCTGAAATCCAAACAAGTAAATGAATGAATTTAAAGTTCATGTACCCTTCAAACACTTATCTTTCAACGAAACAAAGACAAAAAAAAAGAAAACTATCAACAAAACCAATACATAATTATAAGCATTCTCGTTATCCAGCCAAGGAATGATATGTTTTAAAGAAAGTCAATTTAAGAAACGCAATCTCCCATTTTTGTTTGTTACTTTGATTACAAGACAGACGTGGATGTTGCCTATAGTTTTCAATAACTATAACTGATTTCTAACATGTATAATTTTTTTTCAAATGATTATTAATATTTGCATCCTTCTTTTTTAACAAATGGACACTAGTTTCTTTTTTTGCCACTCACTCACTTCCATCTTGTCCATGTTTCACGTTCACTGAGTGTCACACACAATCGCTTGTATTTCTGGTCTCATCCACGCTTTCAAGTAAAGGAGTAGACGGTAGAGATGAATGGAAGGATCTCCTTGATGTCGAAGGAAGTTGGCTCGCTCCAGTCAGTGGGCTCTGCTTTAGAGGAAGATTTAGTGGATGTTGGGGATGAAATAGATGCATCTGTTGCGATGAAGGTGATGATAACTGATGCTGTCGACAAGCGTGGTTATCTTGTGGCGATGCCTTACGAGGTTGTGGATTTTGTGGAGTAGTCGGAGAGCCGCGTACGGCTTGTTGGGCAAACGATTGGCCAAACGACTGTTGTCCTGGTGATGTCGAAGTCGATCGATGCTCTCCAGGGGTTGGTGTCCTACACGACTGACTTGAAGGTGAAGGTGATGGACAGCGCGTACCCTGTCGGAAATGCGTGTGATGATGGTGATGGACGTGCCGATCAGAAGACGGAGAACAACGTAACAGGAGAGGTGGAGTTAGTCGCTGAGGGCGCTGCAGGGTACGTTGTTCTGAAGGAGACGTTGCCGCAGCAGTGCTTGTTGGCGTAGTTGCAGCCTGACCTTCTCGCGCTGATCCCCCTGCTGTGCTTGCTACGTTGTTGGCGTTTAGATTGCAGTTTGGGTTTGTGGTTAGTCCAATGCAGTTTCCATTTGGATCGGGGTATAACGAGGAGTACTGTGGCGGAGGCTGAATGGTTGTATTGTGAGCTCGCCACGCCCATTGACCGCCATTATGTACTCCGTTAGAACCACCAACTGATGAACTTATCCCATGGTTAAATCCAGGTATTGGGTACAGAATGGAATGCCTGCAATAAAACAAAATAACAGTATGCGTGAAATCTTAGGAGAAATAAAGGATTATCAAATATAATAGCAAAGACTTTGAAGAAAAAAAACCTCTACAGCAATTTTAAATTGTCCACGACCAGATTATGCCATACGCCATTATCATTCACGGTGATCTTCTTACGAGCTTTTGTGATCGTGATATAAGAAAGATAAGATCAGAGATATTTTCACAATAAAACTTGCATTAAATGGTCACTCATATCGCGGTTCTATGATCAATCATGTGCTGTATTAAAAAAAAAATTAAAATGAAGATCATCAAGGTTTGGGTAACTGATCTTTTGAACATGGAAACAAAAATCGGTTTGTATCAACAAAATGTAGCGTAAGAAATATATCTACAAGATTTTACTGTGATAAAGTAAAATAAAGAATAACCACACACGGGACTGCCAATGTGGCATTTTCCCCATCTCACATGAGCGGTTTTTGCGGACAAAACTTGTATAGAGCACCTGACGATCTAACGTTGATCTCATGGAAAACCGCCCTCTAAATCCTTATGTGTCGAAGAGACTCTTTTTGGGGTATAGTTAAGCAAATGTATACATGTAGGTTAGGTTCATAAAAGAAACATGCAACCTTAAATTTACCCCCATCGAAAGCAAATACAATTGGCAGGCTGTGATTGATGGTTGCAAGGAGATTCGCCCAGTTAAGGTTTACATTCCCATGTAGAAGGTTTCTAAACACACTTTGCGTTTCCTACATTCACTTAAAGGTAAAGACCAGTACTAGAAACGCCCCAATTTCAAAAAATGAAATGGAAGCTCTTATTACCAATCATGTGAAAGAATATGTTTTGACTAATACATGATGATACAAATTTTGCCGGGAAACCGCCTACTAATTGATATATTTGGTAAATTAGTTTATCTACATGGTCTGTGAGAGATAAACGCACGTGTCGCGCACGTGTGCGTATAGTCCCATATACATCTTTCTGTGTACAGTGCTTGTAACTTTACGAAGACTGGGCCAAATTTCTTATCATTTTGATGATTCCAGAACCTTGCAGTACACACCAATACGTATATGCTAGATGATCAACCCTTTCTGATCGATTCCACAACGTTTCCTTCACGATGCAATCGCATGACCATAACTGGTCTTTACCTTTAAATGATTCGTAAAGTGTGCAAGTAGAATGATGGTTAAGGGGACGAAGATGGTGGAAATCGGTTTGCCATCACTCAAACAAGAATATTCACAACAACTTTTCTTTCTTTTAAAACCGATTCATTGAAAAAGCATTTTTTGTAAATAGTATTTAATTTACGTTGATCAGTAAAAAAAAAATTACTAACGATTCTAAGATGCTGTTTTTCTTGTGGTTCTTGCTTTCTTTCCCAAAATCAAGCTCGATCCCTATAAAGTAAAGCTAAATTCAACCAGATTTTAACGTAGTTATGAATCCGATGCATGAATACATATTTATTTACGAGAGCTTGGGCGTCGACGAAAAGGAGCCATGTTTCCCAATTGAAGTTTCGGTCAGTTTACTGTACTTGGATTTACGAACGCGAACGGAAAATAAAACATATATTACGGCACATATATTTTTAATACAAAGTCATGGAAAAAATGAATATGGTACGTATATTCAACAAGGTTTTATTTCTCTTTCTTTTCGCTCTTATACAGAATTCAACTTTTCTTTACTCTACCTGATGCCATTATGAAAAAATTGTTCGAATATTTGGCAACGATGACTCTAACTGGCAAACTATAAACACTTTCGCGTCACAACTCGTAGCAACTGTGTTTAAAGAGCGTAAATAGGGGTAGAAACCAAGACGAAAGCAAACACATACGACAGATTCATTGCTTTCATCTTGACTTGAAGATATTGGCGGTAGGTAAACACACGGTGGTCAAATCTATACAATGATGCAAAAGATTGAGTGTTGTTTTTGATGGGCTACAAAATAACGGTGATAATGGACACTTTACAACATGGAGCTGTAGAATACATGGTTGAAGCACTCGCTTCCCTTCTCCTCTGTTTTATGTATCCAGAGATGGATCCAGAAAGAAGGTGGAGGGACAAACCCCAAGATGAATTTTTTTCACAGGAACAGGATTTGAGGAATTCAACTAGCCCACTACACGCCCCATCGGGGCAGGGTGGGGGGTATATAAGCAAGAGATGTTTGGATAGGTAAAGCCCCACTTGGTTTTCATGGCTTAATATTTTGTTTAATGCACTGTTAACTTTGTGGCCGATTCGCCCACGTATCTAATATGTAGCTTACAATTGCGGAGTGTTCATTCCACTTTTAAGACGTAACACAATTCCGACCTATTTGCAGAAAACGAGTTGGGTATTCACAGCTATATATCCACCTGCCCCCACACCCCCTTCCCCTTTGACATGAACATCAAATAAGAATGGAGATAAAATAGCAATGGTTAGCGAACACCCCGCTCAAATACAAACAAACATGGCAAATTGTTTTAAAGCTTGAAATTGATGCATCTCATGCATTAACATGAATTACAAACAAACTCATTTATCGTGAGCTTGAATCTGCGAAGAGGAGGAAGGGGTGGATTTATGATGAGTATGAAAGCCTTCTTGATTCTTGTCAACGGAAATTGGTGTCGGGTCGTTCTCATTTTCAAAACTCGACTCCTCGTGCTCTGTCGAGTTATTATGATCTGTTTATTTCTTGCCCTTTAACAACTTGACCTTAGATAGCGCTCAAGTGTTTATGCAGTGATTCTTGAACCAAAGTGAATATAAATAAGAAGTGGCGCGGCGCGCAGTGACCTCACACGCACACACACATAACATTGCACCCTCTTCGACACAATATAAGCCAAGCTTCTGCGTATAATGTTCTTACATTACATTATTTATAAAGCGCCTTTTCAGGAGAACAAAGCACCTAAAATGAGAATGTAAGACAAAATACTTCAATACAGATTTCCTCACAAAATGAACCTGGTTTTGTCTTACTTTGGTGTCTCTGTTGGAATGACACCTGGATTTTCATTTTAAACAGCACTTTACCATATTAATAAATGCGTTTGGGAAACATTTCTTTATTTTCAAAGACCCATGTGAAAGTTTCCTTTATCAAAGTCTCCCATCCTTTTTCTGATTTCATAAATCTATCTCTTCCTGTTCTACCACAGTCGCATTTGTCTCTAATAGAGATGATTTGATACCGGTATAGGTCTGCGGTATATTTTTGTTGAGAATTTAACATTTGGTGGGTGTATGGATTACCCACCCCAGAACTTCACGCTCTTTGCCAGGTGAAGATCTCCATGAATAAAACACTTCACCGATCTGTGGTCAACGAACGCCTTTACCGTCTTCAACAAATCACGTGACACTACTTCATGGAAGTGGCATTGGTTTTCACAGCTTGGGCGCCGTTCTTCATTTAAAATGCTGAGATTTACATCTTCAAACACTTGTTTTCGGAAATATCCATCGACACATATAGAGCGACACCTTTATCTTCTTAATTTTGTGATGTGTGGTCGAAACAAAAGTTATGCAGAAAGAAATCGTTCTCTTGTTATGTTTTATATGTGTTCTATAATTTCTTGAAGCATCATCATTCTGTTCATATATTTTGAATACACCTAATTGATTGGATATTAAGTCAGCCTATGAAAGATATAGGTCAAGTGTTTATTACATGCGCTATTTGATTTAGGAAGATTAATAATAAAAGCCGGTGGTAAGACCCTTCCTTGGATAATGAATATCATCACTTTTCTTACGTAATAATGTTATTAAGGTGGCAGTACCCTTGTTAGTTGAAACTTCAAAATAGAACATCCAATATACGCAAAAAATACGACAAAAAAAAGACAAGTCATTAATGGCAGATTTCCAATTAAAAATGTGTATAGAGCTCGTTTCCTATGTTCGCTCTCAATCATAACTTAGTTTGTATGAACACATGTTATGTGTCCCACCCCACGCTAGAAAAAAAGGGAATTTATTAATATTCCCGCGTGAACAGAAGTCAATATAGTCAATCGCGCCTGGTGCAGTGGAAATGAGGACAAAGAAATATTGAAGCGGGTTTCTTTCTAAATTTAAAAAATATGATTGATGTTTCTAAAAACTAGTGATGATAACATTAAACACGAACCAGGAATAATTATTTTGCTGAGAACGTTGCTCTGATTAAATGGACACCCTACCCGTTTTTCAGTGCATCTCTATCCATATTAATTCAATCTTTTCCCAAAATATATTATTAGCACCTAGGCACTTACTGGTGCTACAGATCTCAAATAATCTCTGGCTGAAATCATAGTCATACTACTTTCTGAGCTGCTCTGAATCGAGATAAAGTGTAATTATGCACACATGAGTAAGAGGGAAAGGAGTCAGAGAGATAAGGACTAGAGGGGAAATGTCACGGTAAAAGAGATGAGAAGATATGAGAGATGGAGAGATATAGAATGTAGCGGGAAAGGATAGGGTGATGGAAAGAGGATAGTTTAGAGAGAGGTCATGATGTAAAGAGTAGGGGAGAGGTGGATAGCTGGACTGATCAGTAACCGTTTGGAGAAAGAAAGAGGGGATGAGATAGGGGATGGGGTAGAGATGGCGGTTTAGGGGAAAGTGGTCAGCGATCTCTCTGGTTAATAATCATTTCTTTACAACAATCATTATGATAATAGGAACATGTTCTTTACAGTGAAAAACAAATTAGAGTATTGCCAAATGTCGACGCACTTATGGTGTAACTTGGCAAGAATCTACCCTTTTGCGATTTTAGCTGATTTTGCGGGTAGGTTTAGGGTCTTTTAACGCAATATCCGGAGTAGGAGAAAGGACTTCATTCTTCTCCTTTTTTTTGTGGGGGGGGGGGGGGAGGGGGAATCTTGGCAGAAGTGTGTCATCCTCTTTCATATTATGATACAATAAATTGAGTGAATTTTTGCCATTACATTTTTTGGTGAATTTGGGGCTCCCAACACT